GAGAGAGAGAGAGAGAGAGAGAGAGAGAGAGAGAGAGAGAGAGAGAGAGAGACTGCGATGCACAAGCGTTGCTCACGCTCACCCCTCTCGAAAGAACGAATAGAAAAACGGCGTTCCCACCCCACGCCTGAATATCAAAGAGGAAAAATGGCGCTGCTGTATTTTTTTGGCTCATTTTTTGGATGGTGACCGACGCAACGGCGCTTTTGAGAATGCAGATTACGCTTCCCCTCTCCCCCTTCCCCTCCCTCTCCCCCCCCAAAACACACACACACACACACCAAAAAGAAGAAATTGCAGATATGCCCTTGGAGAGGGAAGCGAGAGATGCGGTGCGGAGAGGAGGGGGGGCATTCGGTGAAGGGGCGAGAGGGAGGGGGAAAAAACAGAGGGGAGTATTCCAGATGCCCTGGCCTGGGGGTACCCGTTTCCCCCCCACCTTCCTCCCCTCCTCCCCCCTCTCGCCCGCCCACCCCCCCCGAAAAAAGGTCGAGCCTGGGTTTCATTCCCTCTTCTCACCGTATCACAAGCGCAATTATGGCGGAGGGCGGGCGAAGGGTTAAGGAAAGGAGAGGAGAGGAGAGGAGGGGAGGGGGGGGGAAGGGGAAGGATGGGGCTGCCGACTTGTGTAGCAATAATCGTGGTGCTACTACCTATTATGAATAACATCTTGTAATGTAATGCTATGATGTGAGAACGGCACACGTCAGCACAGAGTCTGACCAGAACGCAATGCATGCACTTAACAGTGATAACCACGGCTCAGGTATGTGAGACAAGCTCGAATGATTCACAGAAGACATGAACAACTCAGCGGAAAAGCCATAGCAAGCTATGTCGTCGCTCCCCTCCTCATCGTCAGATCCCTGTGCTAAACAGAAGAATGAAGACGCCTGACCATCCCCTACTAGTTTAAGCCGCCGCCAGATAGCGGCCTCATCAGGGGGAATTCGAGATGGATAACACCTACTGATATCCATATCCATATCTATATCTGTATCGATATCTATCTATCTATCTATATCTATATCTATATCTATATATATTTATCTAGATATATAGGTATATATAGATATCCATATCTATATCTATACATATCGTCGAACAGAACTGCGTCGTAAAGCGGAGGCAGAGAGGCAGGGAGGGAGACCATGACGATATATATATATATATATTTTATCCGATACACGGTGGGACGATATTCTGCAGACTGTTGAGGGTTCAGCCTCCTGATGAGTCGGTGAAACTCCGACGAAACAGTTTGTCACAGCCCCTCGTTTGTTGTCCTCTTCTCTCTCTCTGCCTACGGTTTACCGGGCAGTTCTGTTTGTGACGATATATATTGTGACAATATATTGTGACGATATATTGTGACGATAGTTCTGTTTGTGACGATATATTGTGACGATAGTTCTGTTTGTGACGATATATTGTGACGATATATATACTACGTATATCGTTTTCATAATAACACATGGTAATTTAATTGTCTAATTATATTATATATTTATTATATATTCATCGATGAGTTTATGACGATATGTACATTTTATATTTCTATTATTTTTATTTTTATTGCATCTATTTAAGTACCGATTGGTTGGGCTTAAGCAATTAGCTTTTTTTGAAATAAAATAAAATAAAATAAAAATCCAGTTATGCAATTTGATTATTATTAATTCCACAATATAGGTGTGTGAAATAATTTCAAATAAAAAATAATTTCAAATAAAAAATAATTTCAAATAAAAAATAATTTCAAATAAAAAAGAAACTTATCATTTTCCTGCCCAGGACACATTCCAAGGATCAGATCAGAGTTAGAAGAGGAAAGAGGATTGAACGATGAAAAGTCATTTAACCAACGGGCCTACTACCTTCTTCCCCTGAATACAACGTACGGTCTTTATTATAGCTGTATGTGAGGCAACTTTCAGTCTAGATACAGCTATAATGACCGTACGTTGTATTCGAGGGAAGAAGGTAGCTCAGTTGGTATACCCCCCTTGGACTGTTGAAATGCAGACTCAAGCTCGAACCTGGGCCCGGTCAGTTCAATGATGATTTTATTTTTTTTAAATAAAAAAGAAAAAGATCATTCGGAATTGCCTGGGCCCGGTCAGTTCAGTGATGATTTAAAAATAAAAATAAAAAATCAGACGAAAAAAAGAAAGAAAAGTCATTGATTTTTTTTGTCTATACGACAACGTTGCAAATGCAATGCATGTAGCTAGGAAAAGAGAGAGATGAGGAGCGAGAGGTCGAAGCTGCTTCGTACAATGTAGAGGAGAGGCATAGTTTCTTCAAAAAAAAAAAAAAAAAAAAAAAAAGGAGGAGCGAACACGGGAAAAGAGAGAGGCTTAAAAAAAAAAAAGAAAAAAAAAAAGAAAAGAAAGGAGAGAGCGTCGAGTCGGGACAGAACTGGAGAGAAGGACCTTTTTTTTTTTTTTTTTTTCCAAGGTTAATTTTTTTAATCCCAATCAATTCAAGTACCTGTCAAATCTGGGTGACAGGACGGCCTTTCAGGCCTTTTTTATTTATCATTATCATTATAATCTATATTATTATTACGGGGACCCAATTGTCCGAAGGCATGCCTTTTTCTTGTTCTGATTATTATTTACCAAAAAATAAATAAAAAAATGGACCATCTGGCTGAATAGTACATGTACTATTCAGCGACATGGTCCAATTTTTTTTTTTTTTTGTTCTGATTATTATTTACCAAATAAAAAGTGTACATCCATCAACTCTTCTCACTAGCAGCGTTGAGCTACCTCAACGCCTGAATCTGGACGCTTTTGCGGAGATGTGCAGAAATGGTGTCGAGTTTCCTGAACTGCACGTCTCCACAAACACGTCCAGATTCAGGCGTTAAGGTAGCTCAACGCTGCTACTGGGACTTGGCCCCCGAGTTAGAATGCGGACGGAATCAGTTAAAAAAAAAAAAAAAGAAAAAAAAAAAACTTTGAAGTACTTGGGGCCGTTCGATGATGACATATCAAGGTCGCCGCCGTTTTTTTTTTGCGTTTTTTTTTTTGGAAAACAAAACGTCATTTAAACATGCGTTTCGATTGAAGTACGTTTTATTTTATTTTTATTTTTTATTTTTGAACACATTTTTTGGGATTTCTTTCCTGAAGAGAGAAGATCGGTTCTTGGGGGATATCCGCTTAAATTGGGACGATACAGAAAAGAAGAGTAATTGGTTAGTTTGCCTGAAAAAAAAAAAAAGGTTTTTTGAAACAATAAGGAAAAAAGGTTTTTTGAAACATGCCAGAAAAAAGGTTCTACCTCCTTCAAAACATTAAGGAAAAAAAAAGAGACAACGAAAAGGAAACCTCTGGCCGTCACAGGATCGTCGCAATCCGACGAACGATCTGAACGAGGGCAGGTCGCCTCCTCTCTTTTTTTTTTATAATTAAATTAATTTTTGTTAACTGTTTTTTTGCTGCCTTCTTCTTCAGTTGCTCCGTTGTTTCTTGACTAACGATTCGGGTTCACCAGCTGCTCCACCGCCGTCCCCCGAATAGAATGTTTGTGGACTGAAATTTGCGCCAAATACAGGTATGGTGACCGTCCCTTTTTTTTTTTTTTTTTTTTTTCACCTTCCCTGCTATTCAGGCTAAGGCGATAGATAGGACTGACACAGGATTTCATGTCGTCGTTCGACCAATCATGCTGCTCGAACTACTGCTGAGAATTTAGCACTTCTTTTTTTTTTTTTTTTGAATTTCAAGAAAATGTAGCGCGTGCCGCTGTTCCACTAGGAATAAGTCAGATGATTTTTTTTTTTTTAATTTAAAAATGTAGCGCGTGCTGCTAATCCGTTAGAAAATAAGTCTGTTGAAGACCGTCTTCCCCCGAACATAACGCACCCTAAAAATGAATGTATACAAGCTATATTTCCGGCCAGATACAGCCAAAATAAGGGTGCGTTGTGTTCGGGGGAATACGGTAGCTCAGTGGGTACACCCATGAGCTGTTGAAATACAGACCTGAGATCGAACCCAGATGATGGAACTTGATTGATGAGTAAAACGAAATATATATATTTATTAATTGCGTGGAGACCGTCAGCACAGCTCAATGATGATATCTCATGGCCATCGCCCTTTTCAAAAAAA